CTCGGTACCGCTCCCCGTGCTGCTGCCGCTGCTGCTCCCGGTGCTGCTCCCGGTGCTCCCGGTGCCGCTCCCGGTGCCCCCGGTGCCGCTCCCGGTGCCGCTCCCGGTGCCGCTCCCGGTGCTGCTCCCGCTGCTGATCCCGCTGCTGCTCCCGGTGCTCCCGGTGCTGCTCCCGCTGCTGATCCCGGTGCTCCCGGTGCTGCCGCTGCTGATCCCGCTGCTGCTCCCGGTGCTCCCGGTGCTGATCCCGCTGCTGATCCCGGTGCTGCTCCCGGTGCTGCCGCTGCTGCTGCGGCTGCTGCCGGGGAGGCGGAGCGGGGGGGGTGCATCATCAATGGAGGAGCTGACGTCAGGACCGACGTCAGAATCAGGATTCGAATCCGAACCAAGATCACGATCAGAATCAGACGGGAATCGAGATCAGCATCAGGATCAATCAGAATCAATATCAGCATCACTATCAGCATCAATATCAATCAGAATCAATATCAGCATCAATAGCAACCAGAATCAGTATCAGAATCAATATCAGCATCAATCAGAATCAATATCAGTATCACTATCAGCATCAGTATCAATCAGAATCAGTATCAGTATCACTATCAGCATCAGGATCAATCAGAATCAGCATCAATATCAATCAGAATCAGTATCAGTATCAGCATCACTATCAGCATCAATATCAATCAGAATCAGCATCAGCATCACTATCAGCATCAGGATCAATCAGAATCAGTATCAGCATCACTATCAGCATCAGGATCAATATCAGCATCATTATCGATACCCAAATCAAAATCGGTGCCAAAATCAACATCAAATTCAATATCAATATCCAAATCAATAGAGATATCGAAATCAATATCAATATCGATGTCCAAACCGGTATCAGATCAATATCAAAATCTATATCGATACAGAAACCAATTGTGACATTAATATAAGTGTCCAAATCAATATCAAATCGATATCAATATCAATACCCAAATCAATATCAAACTGATATCAATATCAATATCAATGTCCAAATTAATATCAAATTGATATCAATATCAAAATCCAAATCAATATCAAGCTGATATCAATCTCAATATCAATATAAATGTCCAAATCAATATCAAATCGATATCAATATCAATATCCAAATCAATATCAAACTGATATCAATATCAATATCCAAATCAATATCAAACTGATAACAATATCAAATCGATATCAATATAAATGTCCAAATCAATATCAAACTGATATCAATATCAATATCTAAATCAATCTCAATTCAATATCAATATCAATATCCAAATCAATATCAAATCGGTAACAATACCAATATCGAGATCAAATCAATATCAATATCCAATCGATATCCAATTGATGTCGCAATCAAACTCGATATCAAATCAGTGCCGGTCACTCCCCACACGCAGTTTTCCATCCCAAATTCTGTTTTCCATCCCAAATCCTCACTTTTCCACCCCAAATCCGCAGTTTTCCACCCCAAATCTGCAGTTTTCCACCCCAGATCTCCAGTTTTGCACCCCAAATCCTGTTTTCCCCCCGAAATCCGCAGTTTTCCACCCCAAATCCTGTTTTCCATCCCAAATCCGCAGTTTTCCATCCCAAATCCGCAGTTTTGCACCCCAAATCCTGTTTTCCGTCCCAAATCTGCAGTTTTCCACCCCAAATCTGCAGTTTTCCATCCCAAATCCTGTTTTCTATCCCAAATCCGCAGTTTTCCACCCCAAATCCTGTTTTCCATCCCAAATCCTGTTTTCCATCCCAAATCTGCAGTTTTCCACCCCAAATCCTGTTTTCCATCCCAAATCCGCAGTTTTCCACCCCAAATCCTGTTTTCCATCCCAAATCCTGTTTTCCATCCCAAATCTGCAGTTTTCCACCCCAAATCCGCAGTTTTCCTTCCCAAATCTGCAGTTTTCCACCCCAAATCTGCAGTTTTCCACCCCAAATCCGCAGTTTTCCTTCCCAAATCCGCAGTTTTCCACCCCAAATCTGCAGTTTTCCACCCAAATCCTGTTTTCCATCCCAAATCTGCACTTTCCTGCCCCAAATCCGCAGTTTTCCACCCCAAATCCGCAGTTTTCCACCCCAAATCCGCAGTTTTGCACCCCAAATCCTGTTTTCCATCCCAAATCCGCAGTTTTCCACCCCAAATCCGCAGTTTTCCATCCCAAATCCTGTTTTCCACTCCAAATCCGCACTTTCCCACCCAAAATCCGCAGTTTTCCACCCCAAATCCTCGGTTTTCCATCCCAAATCCGCAGTTTTCCGCCCCAAATCTGCAGTTTTGCACCCCAAATCCTGTTTTCCATCCCAAATCTGCAGTTTTCCGCCCCAAATCTGCAGTTTTGCACCCCAAATCCTGTTTTCCATCCCAAATCTGCAGTTTTCCATCCCAAATCATTTTTCTTCCCAAAATACTCTTTTCCACCCCAAATCCTGTTTTCCATCCCAAATCTGCAGTTTTTCACCCCAAATCCGCAGTTTTCCTTCCCAAATCCTCACTTTTCCACCCCAAATCCGCAGTTTTCCACCCCAAATCTGCAGTTTTGCACCCCAAATCCTGTTTTCCACCCCAAATCCTCAGTTTTCCACTCCAAACCCTCAATTTTCCACCCCAAATCCTGTTTTCCATCCCAAATCCGCAGTTTTCCACCCCAAATCTGCAGTTTTCCACCCCAAATCCGCAGTTTTGCACCCCAAATCCTGTTTTCCACCCCAAATCCGCAGTTTTCCATCCCAAATCCTGTTTTCCATCCCAAATCCGCAGTTTTCCACCCCAAATCCGCAGTTTTCCACCCCAAATCCTGTTTTCCATCCCAAATCCGCAGTTTTCCACCCCAATTCCACAGTTTTCCATCCCAAATCCTGTTTTCTATCCCAAATCCTCACTTTTCCCCCCACTTTTCCACCCCAAATCCCCACTTTTCCATCCCAAAATCCTCACTTTCCCACCCCAAATCCTCACTTTCCCACCCCAAATCCTCATCCTCAACACCCACAACGCAGATTTCAGCACCAATCCCCCATGTCAAGCCCCACTCCCTCCCGTTTTGGACACATTTGGGGGGTTCCAAACGCTTCTTTTGGGGTAAAAACCCCCTTTTTGAGGACCTAACCCCTCATTTTCAGCCCCAAAACCGCCGGTTTTAGGACTCGAAGCGTTTTCATGCCCGAATCCCGCTTTCAAACCCCACTTTTGGGGTCCAAAACCTCGTTTTTAGGGTCCAAATCCTGCGCTTGGACCCCACGCATCCCCTTGACCCCCTATGCCCCCCCCATAGACCCCTATAGAACCTCATAGGGCCCCCAAAGACACCACAGGACCCTAACACCCCCATGGACCCCATAGAACCCCAAAGCGACCAAAACCCCCCAAAATACCCCAAAACCCCCCAAAAGACCCCAAACCCCCCCCATATCCTTGTGTCTGCTCCCCCCCAACCTGCCCCCCCCCTCGCCCCCCAAATGTCCTTGTCCCCCCCCCCCCGTGACGCAGTGGCCTTGTCCTTGTCCTTGTCCCCACCCCATTGCCTTGGGTCCCCCCCCTCGGTGCTGACGTTGGGTCCTCCCACCCCACATCCCCCTTTAACCCTTCTATAGGACCCTATTGGGGACCCCCCCATGTCCCCCCCCCATAGGACCCTATTGGGGACTCCCCCCCACATCCCCCTTTAACCCTTCTATAGGACCCTATTGGGGACCCCCCCATGTCCCCCCCCCCATAGGACCCTATTGGGGACCCCCCCATGTCCCCCCCCCCATAGGATCCTATTGGGGACTCCCCCCCACATCCCCCTTTAACCCTTCTATAGGACCCTATTGGGGACCCCCCCATATCCCCCCTTAACCTCTCTAGAGGACCCTATTGGGGACCTCCGATGTCTCCCCCATAACCCCCCCCATAGGACCCTATTGGGTACCCCCCATAACCCCCCTTTAACCCTTCTATAGGACCCCTACTGAGGACCCCCCCCCATGTCCCCCCCCCCATATCCCCCCTTTATCCCTCCTATAGGACCCTATGGAGGTCCCCCCCCATGTCCCCCCAATGTCCCCCCCCATAGGACCCTAGTGGGCCCCCCCCCAAACCCCCCTTTAACCCTTCTATAGGACCCTATGGAGGTCCCCCCCCATAGGACCCTATTGGGGACCCCCCCAAATCCCCCTTTAACCCTCCTATAGGACCCCATGGAATCCCCCCCCATGTCCCCCCCAATGTCCCCCCCATAGGACCCTAGTGGGACCCCCCCAAATCCCCCTTTAACCCTCCTATAGGACCCCATGGAATCCCCCCCCATGTCCCCCCCAATGTCCCCCCCATAGGACCCTAGTGGGACCCCCCCAAACCCCCCTTTAACCCTCCTATAGGACCCTATGGAGTCCCCCCCCATGTCCTCCCAATGTCCCCCCCCCATAGTACCCTATTGGGACCCCCCCCAAACCCCCCTTTAACCCTCCTATAGGACCCCATGGAGTCTCCTCCCCATGTCCCCCCCCATAGGACCCTAGTGGCCCCCCCCATCCCCTTTTTAACCCTCCTATAGGACCCCATGGAGTCCCCCCCATGTCCCCCCCCATAGGACCCTAGTGGCCCCCCCATCCCCTTTTTAACCCTCCTATAGGACCCCATGGAGGTCCCCCCCCATGTCCCCCCATAGGACCCTAGTGGGCCCCCCCCCAAACCCCCCTTTAACCCCCCTATAGGACCCCATGGAGTCCCCCCATGTCCCCCCCCATAGTTACCCCAGTGGCCCCCCCACACCCCCTTTTAACCCTCCTACAGCCCCCTACCCCCCCCCAAATAAACACCCCCAAAGGGGCGTGGGGCGGAGCTTGTTGTGAGCCTGCCCTTAGTGGGTGTCCCCCCCCCTATTTAGACCCCATCGCACCCCTTTCCCCCCCCCCCCAGCCCCACACCAGCCCCACACCAGCCCCATGGCTGCCCACTGCTGCTGCTGCTGCTGCTGGGGGCGGCGCTGCTTGCGCTGGCGCTCTCCGGCCGCTGGGGGGCGCTGCTGCACCTCCTGCACCCGCAGGGGGCGCTGCACCTCGCCCGCCTCGCCCCGCCGCCGGGGGCCCGTCCTGCGCATGCGCGTGGGGGGGCGAGGTGAGTCCATTGACGGGGAAGGGGGGGGGGGGGTACCCCAAATCTGACCCTGACCCCCCCCTAATTCAACCCTTATAGACCCACCCCCACACCCTCTTTTTGGGGGCAACCCCAGTTTTGGGGTCCCCCCCCCATTTAGGTCCCTTTATTTCGCCCCACACACTTGGGTTCTGCCCCCGGAATTTTGGGGTACCCCCATTTGGGTTTTCACCTCTTATTTAGGGGTCCCCCCCATTTGGGTTCATCCTTCCCCTATTTTGGGGTCCCCCCCATTTGGGTCCCCCCCCTTATTTAGGGGTCCCCCCCATTTGAGTTCATCTCTCTCCTATCTTGGGGTCCCCCCCATTTGGGTTCATCCCTGCCCTATTTTGGGGTGCCCCCCCTATTTGAATCCCCCCCTCACTTTAGGGCCTCCCCTATGTGGGTTCCCCCCCCCTTACTTAGGGGTCCCCCCTATTTGGGTTCATCCTTCCCCTATTTTGGGGTCCCCCCCATTTGGGTTCATCCTTCCCCTATTTTGGGGTCCCCCCATTTGGGTCCCCCCCCTTATTTAGGGGTCCCCCCCATTTGAGTTCATCTCTCTCCTATCTTGGGGTCCCCCCCATTTGGGTTCATCCCTGCCCTATTTTGGGGTCCCCCCCCTATTTGAATCCCCCCCTCACTTTAGGGCCTCCCCTATGTGGGTTCCCCCCCCCTTACTTAGGGGTCCCCCCCATTTGGGTTCATCCCTCCCCTATTTGGGGTCCCCCCCCCTATTTGGGTCCGTCCCCCCCCCATTATTTAGGGGTCCCCCCTATTTTGGGGTCTCCCCAGCTTTGGGTGTCCCCCCCTATTTTGATCCCCTCCGCCCCCCACTTTGGGGTCCCACCCATTTGGGTCCCCCCCCTTATTTAGGGGTCCCCCCCATTTGGGTTCATCCCTGCCCTATTTTGGGGTCCCCCCCTATTTGAATCCCCCCCTCACTTTAGGGCCCCCCCTATGTGGGTCCCCCCCTATTTTGGGGTCTCCCCATCTTTGGGTCCCCCCCCCCATTTTAACCCCCTCCTCCCCCCCATCCCATTTTGGGTCCGTTTCCCCCACTTTGGGTCCGTTTCCCCCATTTTGGGTCCGTTTCCCCCATTTTGGGTCCGTTTCCCCATTTTGGGTCTGTTTCCCCCATTTTGGGGTCTGTTTCCCCCATTTTGGGTCCGTTTCCCCCACTTTGGGTCCGTTTCCCCCATTTTGGGGTCCATTTCCCCCCATTTTGGGTCCGTTTCCCCCCATTTGGGGTCTGTTTCCCCCCCATTTTGGGGTCTGTTTCCCCCCATTTTGGGTCCGTTTCCCCCATTTTGGGTCCGTTTCCCCCATTTTGGGTTCATTTCCCCCCCATTTTGGGTCCGTTTCCCCCCATTTTGGGTCCATTTCCCCCCATTTTGGGTCCATTTCCCCCATTTTGGGTCCATTTCCCCCCATTTTGGGTCCGTTTCCCCCCATTTTGGGTCCATTTCCCCCATTTTGGGTCCGTTTCCCCCCATTTTGGGTCCGTTTCCCCCCATTTTGGGTCCGTTTCCCCCATTTTGGGTCCGTTTCCCCCCATTTTGGGTCCATTTCCCCCCATTTTGGGGTCCATTTCCCCCCATTTTGGGTCCATTTCCCCCCATTTTGGGTCCATTTCCCCCCATTTTGGGTCCGTTTCCCCCATTTTGGGTCCGTTTCCCCCATTTTGGGTCCATTTCCCCCCATTTTGGGTCCATTTCCCCCCATTTTGGGTCCGTTTCCCCCATTTTGGGTCCATTTCCCCCATTTTGGGTCCGTTTCCCCCATTTTGGGTCCATTTCCCCCATTTTGGGTCCGTTTCCCCCATTTTGGGTCCATTTCCCCCATTTTGGGTCTATTTCCCCCCATTTTGGGTCCGTTTCCCCCCATTCTGGGTCCGTTTCCCCCCATTTTGGGTCCGTTTCCCCCATTTTGGGTCTGTTTCCCCCATTTTGGGGTCTGTTTCCCCCCAGTTTGGGTCCGTTTCCCCCACTTTGGGTCCGTTTCCCCCATTTTGGGGTCCATTTCCCCCCATTTTGGGTCCGTTTCCCCCCATTTGGGGTCTGTTTCCCCCCATTTTGGGGTCTGTTTCCCCCCATTTTGGGTCCGTTTCCCCCATTTTGGGTCCGTTTCCCCCATTTTGGGTTCATTTCCCCCCATTTTGGGTCCGTTTCCCCCCATTTTGGGTCCATTTCCCCCCATTTTGGGTCCATTTCCCCCATTTTGGGTCCATTTCCCCCCATTTTGGGTCCGTTTCCCCCCATTTTGGGTCCATTTCCCCCATTTTGGGTCCGTTTCCCCCCATTTTGGGTCCGTTTCCCCCCATTTTGGGTCCGTTTCCCCCATTTTGGGTCCGTTTCCCCCCATTTTGGGTCCATTTCCCCCCATTTTGGGGTCCATTTCCCCCCATTTTGGGTCCATTTCCCCCCATTTTGGGTCCATTTCCCCCCATTTTGGGTCCGTTTCCCCCATTTTGGGTCCATTTCCCCCATTTTGGGTCCGTTTCCCCCATTTTGGGTCCGTTTCCCCCATTTTGGGTCCATTTCCCCCCATTTTGGGTCCATTTCCCCCCATTTTCGGTCCGTTTCCCCCATTTTGGGTCCATTTCCCCCATTTTGGGTCCGTTTCCCCCATTTTGGGTCCATTTCCCCCATTTTGGGTCCGTTTCCCCCATTTTGGGTCCATTTCCCCCATTTTGGGTCCGTTTCCCCCCATTTTGGGTCCGTTTCCCCCCATTCTGGGTCCGTTTCCCCCCATTTTGGGTCCGTTTCCCCCATTCTGGGTCCGTTTCCCCCCATTTTGGGTCCGTTTCCCCCATTCTGGGTCCATTTCCCCCATTTTGGGTCCGTTTCCCCCATTTTGGGTCCGTTTCCCCCATTTTGGGTCCGTTTCCCCCATTTTGGGTCCATTTCCCCCATTTTGGGTCCGTTTCCCCCCATTCTGGGTCCATTTCCCCCATTTTGGTTCCGTTTCCCCCATTTTGGGTCCATTTCCCCCATTTTGGGTCCATTTCCCCCATTTTGGGTCCATTTCCCCCCATTTTGGGTCCATTTCCCCCATTTTGGGTCCGTTTCCCCCATTTTGGGGTCCGTTTCCCCCTATTTTGGGTCCGTTTCCCCCATTTTGGGTCCGTTTCCCCCATTTTGGGTCCGTTTCCCCCATTTTGGGTCCGTTTCCCCCATTTTGGGTCCATTTCCCCCATTTTGGGTCCGTTTCCCCCATTTTGGGTCCGTTTCCCCCATTTTGGGTCCATTTCCCCCCATTTTGGGTCCATTTCCCCCCATTTTGGGTCCGTTTCCCCCATTTTGGGTCCGTTTCCCCCATTTTGGGTCCATTTCCCCCCATTTTGGGTCCGTTTCCCCCATTTTGGGTCCATTTCCCCCCATTTTGGGTCCGTTTCCCCCATTTTGGGTCCGTTTCCCCCATTTTGGGTCCGTTTCCCCCTATTTTGGGTCCGTTTCCCCCATTTTGGGTCCATTTCCCCCATTTTGGGTCCGTTTCCCCCATTTTGGGTCCGTTTCCCCCATTTTGGGTCCGTTTCCCCCATTTTGGGTCCATTTCCCCCATTTTGGGTCCATTTCCCCCATTTTGGGTCCATTTCCCCCCATTTTGGGTCCATTTCCCCCATTTTGGGTCCATTTCCCCCATTTTGGGTCCGTTTCCCCCTATTTTGGGTCCGTTTCCCCCATTTTGGGTCCATTTCCCCCATTTTGGGTCCATTTCCCCCATTTTGGGTCCATTTCCCCCCATTTTGGGTCCGTTTCCCCATTTTGGGTCCGTTTCCCCCATTTTGGTTCCGTTTCCCCCATTTTGGGTCCGTTTCCCCCCATTTTGGGTCCATTTCCCCCATTTTGGGTCCATTTCCCCCATTTTGGGTCCGTTTCCCCCCATTTTGGGTCCGTTTCCCCCCATTTTGGTTCCGTTTCCCCCCATTTTGGTTCCGTTTCCCCCATTTTGGGTACGTTTCCCCCATTTTGGGTCCATTTCCCCCCATTTTGGGTCCGTTTCCCCCCATTTTGGGTCCGTTTCCCCCCATTTTGGTTCCGTTTCCCCCCATTTTGGTTCCGTTTCCCCCATTTGGGTCCATTTCCCCCCATTTTGGGGTCCGTTTCCCCCCATTTTGGGGTCTCTCCCCCAGATTTGCTGGTCCTGAGCTCGGCCGCCACCATCCGGGAGGCGCTGGCCCGGCACTGCGGGGACTGGTTGGGGCGGCCCCCGAGCTACCTGGGTAATGGGGGGGCTATGGGGCTGGGGGGGTCTATGGGGATGGAGCGGTCTATGGGGATGGGGGAGGTCTATGGGGATGGGGGGGTCTATGGGGATGGGGGTTATGGGGATGGGGGGGTCTATGGGGATGGAGGGGTCTATAGGGCTGGGGGATCTATGGGGATGGGGGGGTCTATGGGGCTGGAGGGGTCTATGGGGCTGGGGGAGGTCTATGGGGCTGGGGGGATCTATGGGAATGGGGGGGTCTATGGGGATGGGGGGGGTCTATGGGGCTGGGGGGTCGATGGGGCTGGAGGGGTCTATGGGGCTGGGGGTTATGGGGCTGGGGGGATGCATGGGGCTGGGGGGGATCCATGCGGCTGGGGGGGGGTCTATGGGGCTGGGGGGGTCTATGGGGATGGGGGGTCTATGGGGATGGGGGGCTCTATGGGGATGGGGGGTCTATGGGGATGGGGGGTCTATGGGGATCGGGGGTCTATGGCGCTGGGGGGGGTTATGGGGCTAAGGGAGGTCTATGGGGCTGGGGGGGATGCATGGGGATGGAGGGGTTATGGGGGCTGGGGGGGGTCTATGGGGATGGGGGGGGTCTATGGGGCTGGGGGGGGTCTATGGGGCTGGGGGAGATGTATGGGGCTTCAGGGGTCTATGGGGCTGGGGGGATCCATGGGGCTGTGGGGGTCTATGGTGGGGTCTATGGGGCTAGGGGGGATCTATGGCGCAGGGGATGTTATGGGGTTTATGGGGCTGGGGGGGGGTCTATGGGGCTGAGAAGGATCTATGGGGCTGGGTGATCTATAGGGCTGGGGGCTGTCTATGGGACCGGGGGGGTCTATGGGCTGGGGGAGGGTCTATTGGGCTGCGGGGGGTTATGGGGCTGGGGGACCTGTGGAACTGGGGGCGTCTATGGGGCTGGGGGTCTCTATAGGGCTCTATGGGGTCTCTCTGGGTCTCTCTGGGGTCTCTCGGGGTCTCTCTGGGGTCTCTATGGGGTCCCTATGTGTCTCTATGTGTCTCTATGGGGTCTCTATGTGTCTCTATGGGTCTCTATGGGGTCTCTATGGGGTCTCTATGGGTCTCTATGGGTCTCTATGGGTCTCTATGGGGTCTCTATGGGTCTCTATGTGTCTCTATGGGTCTCTATGGGGTCTCTATGTGTCTCTATGGGTCTCTATGTGTCTCTATGGGTCTCTATGGGGTCTCTATGGTCTCTATGGGTCTCTATGGGGTCTCTATGGGGTCTCTATGGGTCTCTATGGGTCTCTATGGGTCTCTATGTCTCTCTATGGGTCTCTATGGGTCTCTATGTCTCTCTCTGGGTCTCTATGGATCTCTATGGGTCTCTATGTCTCTCTATGGGTCTCTATGGGTCTCTATGGGTCTCTATGTCTCTCTATGGGTCTCTATGGGTCTCTATGTCTCTCTCTGGGTCTCTATGGATCTCTATGGGTCTCTATGTCTCTCTATGGGTCTCTATGGGTCTCTATGGGGTCTCTATGGGTCTCTATGGGTCTCTATGGGTCTCTATGTCTCTCTATGGGTCTCTATGGGTCTCTATGTCTCTCTATGTCTCTCTATGTCTCTCTATGTCTCTCTATGTGTCTCTATGGGTCTCTATGTGTCTCTATGTGTCTCTATGTGTCTCTATGGGTCTCTATGGGTCTCTATGTGTCTCTATGGGTCTCCATGGGTCTCTATGTGTCTCTATGGGTCTCCATGGGTCTCTATGTGTCTCTATGGGTCTCTGTGGGTCTCTATGTCTCTCTCTGGGTCTCTATGTCTCTCTATGGGTCTCTATGGGTCTCCATGGGTCTCTCTGGGTCCCTTTCCCCAGCCCCATTGGTGTCGCGGGGGGGTCAGGACCTGGCGCTCGGGGCCCCCACCCCGGGCTGGCGGCTGCAGCGCGCGGCCACGCGGGGGGCGCTGGCGAGGGCGGGGCCACGGCTGGGGGCGGAGCTACAGAAAACGGGGCGTGGCCTCGTGGAGGTGAGCGACAGCCCCGGGGGGACCCATAGAGACCCATGGAGACCCATAGAGACCCCATAGAGACCCATAGCGACCCATAGAGACCCATAGAGACACATAGAGACCCCATAGAGACCCCATAGAGACCCATAGAGACCCATAGAGACCCCATAGAGACCCATAGAGACACATAGAGACCCCATAGAGACCCATAGAGACCCCATAGAGACCCCATAGAGACCCCATAGAGACCCATAGCGACCCATAGAGACCCATAGAGACACATAGAGACCCCATAGAGACCCCATAGAGACCCATAGAGACCCATAGAGACCCCATAGAGACCCATAGAGACACATAGAGACCCCATAGAGACCCATAGAGACCCCATAGAGACCCCATAGAGACCCCATAGAGACACATAGAGACCCATAGAGACCCATAGAGACCCCATAGAAACCCATAGATACCCATAGAGACCCCATTACCCCCATAGACCCCCCAATATCCCCATAGGCCCCCCCATTACCCCCATAGCCCTCCCAATAACCCTCATTGACGCCCCATGATCCCCCCATAGACCCCCCAATACCCCCCATAGACCCCCATAGACCCCCCATAGATCCCCCAATACCCCCCCACAGACCCCCCCATAGACCCCCATAGACCCACCCATAGATCCCTCCATAGACCCCCCAATACCCCCCATAGACCCCCCCATAGATCCCCCCATAGGCCCCCCAATACCCCCATAGACCCCCCAATATCCCCATAGACCCCCATTACCCCCATAGACCCCCCCATAGACCCCCATTACCCCCATAGACCCCTCCATTGCTCCCCATAGACCCCCCCATAGACCCCCCCCATAACCCCCTTTCCCCCCCCCCCCCAGGAGCTCCTTTCCCACGGGGGGGCCCCCCTGGACCCCTTTGAGGTCTTCGCCTTCCACACGTGCAGCACCATCGGGGGCCTCATCTTTGGGGACCTGGTAACGGGGGGGGACCCCAACATTGGGGGGGGCCCAAATATTGGGGGGGAACCAAAATGGGGGGGCCCTAAATGGGGGAGACCCCAAAATTGGGGGGGAACCAAAATGGGGGGGAACTAAAATGGGGGGGACCCAAAAATTGGGGGGGAACCAAAATGGGGGGGAACCAAAATGGGGGGGGACCCAAAATTGGGGGGGAACCAAAATGGGGGGGAACTAAAATGGGGGGGACCCAAAATGGGGGGGAACCAAAATGGGGGGGGACCCAAAATGGGGGGGCCCTAAATGGGGGAGACCCCAAAATTGGGGGGGAACCAAAATTGGGGGGAACCAAAATGGGGGGGGACCCAAAAATTGGGGGGCAATCAAAAGGGGGGGGACCCAAAAATTGGGGGGGGGGCCAAAATGGGGGGGAACCAAAATGGGGGGAACCAACATTGGGGGGGACCCAACACTGGGGGGGACCCTAAAATTGGGGGGGAACCAAACATTGGGGGGGGACCCAAAATTGGGGGGGACCCAACATTGGGGGGCACCCTAAAGTGGGGGGGACCCTAAGTTGGGGGGACCCTAAATGGGGGAGGGGACCCAACATTGGGGGGGGACCCTAAATGGGGGGGGGGAACACCCTAAATGGGGGGAACCAAACATTGGGGGGGAACCCAACATTGGGGGTGGACCCTAAATAGGGGGGGACCCAAAATAGGGGGGACCCAATATTGGGGGGGACCCTAAAAAGGGGGGACCCTAAAGTGGGGGGGGACCCTAAAGAGGGGGGACCCTAAATGGGGGGGGAACCCAACACTGGGGTGGGACCCAACATTGGGGGGGGGACCCTAAAGTGGGGGGGGACCCTAAATAGGGGGGACCCTAAAGTGGGGGGACCCTAAATGGGGGAGGGGACCCTAAAGGGGGGGGGGAGCAACATTGGGGGGGGGACACCTAAATGGGGGTGGGGGAGGGGTGGGTCTGGGGGTTCCCATTGCCCCGCCCCCCCCAGCTCCCCCCCCAGGCCGAGGTCCGGGCCTTCACCCGCTGCGTCCTGGAGCTGCTGGAGCTGTGGGGGAGGGGCTCGCTGCGGGCCCTGGAGGTGGTGCCCGTGCTGAGGGTGAGGGGGGAGGGGATCTATGGGGCTGGGGGGGGGGATGTGGGGCTGGGGGGATCTATGGGGCTGGAGGTATCTATGGGGATGGGGAGGATCTATGGGGCTGGGGGGATCTATGGGGCTGGGGGGGGGATGTGGGGCTGGGGAGGATGTGGGGCTGGAGGGTTTAAAGGGCTGGGGGGGATCTGTGGGGCTGGAGGTATCTATGGGGATGGGGAGGATCTATGGGGCTGGGGGGGGGATGTGGGGCTGGGGAGGATGTGGGGCTGGAGGGTTTAAAGGGCTGGGGGGGATCTGTGGGGCTGGAGGTATCTATGGGGATGGGGAGGATCTATGGGGCTTGGGGAATCTATGGGGCTGGGGGGGGGATGTGGGGCTGGGGAGGATGTGGGGCTGGAGGGTTTAAAGGGCTGGGGGGGATCTGTGGGGCTGGGGGGATCTATGGGGATGGGGGGGATGTGGGGATGGGGGTGGGGAGGATCTATGGGGCTGGTTGGGGGGGGCTGGGGAGGATGTGGGGCTGGAGGGTCTAAAGGGCTGGGGGGGATCTGTGGGGTTGGGGGGATCTATGGGGATGGGGGGGATCTGTGGGGCTTGGGGGATCTATGGGGATGGGGGGGATGTGGGGATGGGGGTCGGGAGGATCTATGGGACTGAGAAGGATCTATGGGGCTGAGGAGGATCTATGGGGCTCGGGGAATCTATGGGGCTGAGGGGGGGATGTGGGGCTGGGGGGACCTATGGGGCTGGTTGGGGGGGGGCTGGGGAGGATGTGGGGCTGGAGGGTCTAAAGGGCTGGGGGGGATCTGTGGGGCTGGGGGGATCTATGGGGATGGGGGGGATGTGGGGCTTGGGATCCGTGGGCCTGGGGGGATCTCTATGCGTCCTAGGGTGTCTCTATGGGTCCCATTGGGTCTCTATGGGTCCTGTTCGGGTCTCTAGGGGTCCTATTGGCGTCCCTATGGGTCCCATTGGGGTCTCTGTGGGTCCCTATGGGTCCCGTTCGGGTCTCTGTGGGTCTCTATGGGTCCCTATGGGTCCCGTTCGGGTCTCTGTGGGTCTCTATGGGTCCCTATGGGTCCCGTTCGGGTCTCTATGGGGTCTCTATGGGTCCGGGTCTCCCCCTCTGGGTCCCCCCTCAGGCCCTGCCCCACCCGGGGCTGCGGAAGCTTCTGGAGCTCGTGGAGCTGCGGGATGCATTCGTGGAGGCCCAGATCCGGAAGCACGAGGTGGGGGGGGACCCCAATGTCCATGGGGGGGGACCCAATATCAATGGGGGGGCACCCAATGTCCATGGGGGGACCCCAATGTCTATGGGGGGGACCCAATATCAATGGGGGGGGCACCCAATGTCTATGGGGGGGACCCCAATGTCTATGGGGGGGACCCAATATCAATGGGGGGGGACACTCAATGTCAATGGGGGGGACCCCAATATCAATGGGGGGGACCCAATGTCTATGGGGGGGACCCCAATGTCTATGGGGGACCCAATATCAATGGGGGGGGGACCCCAATGTCTATGGGGGGGGACCCAATATCAATGGGGGGGACCCCAATGTCTATGGAGGGACCCCAATGTCTATTAGGGGGGACCCAATGTCCATGGATGGGACCCCAATGTCCATGGTGGGGGGACCCCAATGCCAATGGGGGGACCCCAATGTCCATGGGGAGGACCCAATGTCTATGGAGGGACCCCAATGTCTATTAGGGGGGACCCAATGTCCATGGTGGGGGGACCCCAATGTCCATGGGGAGGACCCAATGTCCATGGTGGGGGGACCCCAATGTCAATGGGGAGGACCCTATGTCTGGGCGGGGACCCCAATGTCTATGGGGGGGACCCAATATCAATGGGGGGACCCCAATGTCCATGAGGGACCCAATGTCTATGGGGGGACCCCAATGTCTATGGGTGACCCCAATGTCTATTAGGGGGGACCCAATGTCTATGGATGGGACCCCAATGTCAATGGGGAGGACCCAATATCAATGGGGGGTACCCCAATGTCTATTAGGGGGGACCCAATGTCCATGGGGGTGACCCCAATGTCTATGGGGGGGACCCAATATCAATGGGGGGACCCCAATGTCCATGGGGGACCCAATGTCTATGGGGGGACCCCAATGTCTATGGGGGACCCCAATGTCTATTAGGGGGGACCCAATGTCCATGGGGGTGACCCCAATGTCAATGGGGAGGACCCAATATCAATGGGGGGGACCCCAATGTCTATTAGGGGGGACCCAATGTCCATGGGGGTGACCCCAATGTCCATGGGGGGCCCCCAGTGCCCTTGGCACCCATTGGCCCCGCTGTGCCCCCCCCCCCCCCCAGGAGTGCCCATCCCCCCCCCGGGACACGGTGCTGGGGGCCCTGCGGGACCCCTCGCGGCCGGGCCCCCCCCTGAGCCCCCCCGCCTGCACATGGCCCTCGTGGACCTCTTCATCGGCGGCACCGAGACCACGGCGGCCGCCCTGGCCTGGGCCATCGCCTTCCTGCTGCACCGGCCCGAGGTACCGCGGCGACCGGGGACATCCGGGGCCATCCGTGTCCATTCACGTCCATCCATGCCCATCTGTGTCCATCCATGTCCCATCCGTGTCCATTCACGTCCATCCATGCCCATCTGTGTCCATTCACGTCCATCCATGCCCATCTGTGTCCATCCATGTCCCATCCGTGTCCATCCGTGTCCATCCGTGTCCATCTGTGTCCATCCATGTCCCATCCGCGTCCATCCGTGTCCATCTGTGTCCATCCACGTCCATCCGTGTCCATCCGTGTCCATCCGTGTCCATCTGTGTCCATCCGTGTCCATCTGTGTCCATCTGTGTCCATCCATGTCCCATCCGTGTCCATCCGTGTCCATCTGTGTCCATCTGTGTCCATCCATGTCCCATCCGCGTCCATCCGTGTCCATCTGTGTCCATCCACGTCA